AACAAGATGAAAAGAGTTGCAGACAAGAAAGAAAAGAACCCTAATTTTTTTTTTTTGATGTAAAAACTAAAAACTAAAGATACGCAAACCTAATTTAGGGATCTAATGCTCTGATACCAAGATGATGAGAACCCTAAAGAGAACAATGAGACCCACAGCACGACAAGGGATTTCTAAACTCCAGGAAAGCTAAATCAGGTTTATAATAAGACCTTGACCTATTGTTTATGTCGCAACAAGAACCAAAGGTAAAAACCTTGACCCATTGTCTATAACGCAATAAGAACCAGAGGTATAAAGTTGGTTGACGCCACACCCTCGAATGATTAAGAACGAGAATGATAAGTCAGGTTAGAACGCCACAAGAATAATCTTGATAAGTTCTGTAAAATTCTGAAACGAACCAAAGAGAAAAGTCTCTCAAAATCTCAGATTCAATAGCCTTCCCAATTAAGGTTACAAGCCCCTTTAAATAGGGAAAAGTAGTTCTAATCAGAATAGAAAACTAACACCCTAAATCCTAATCATAATAACCACGAATTGGGCCTTAAATAAATGAATGTTCAGCCCAAAATAATATAAAAAACATGAAAATCACTAAAACTAGCCTAAAGTAATATGAAATATTAGTTTGTTACAAATTGCGACAAAATGGCGAGATTGACGCAAACTAGGTAATTTAGCATAAATAACCTCAATTAAGCTTCTCTTGAACTTGAATGATGTTTATCATGCCTTGATAATCATCCAAGCTTCGATTTGCTTGTTGTCTGTTGTTTTCAACCCAGATCTGCTCAATAAGGCCATTTAAAGCTTCACACATCTTCTTAGCTCTAGCTCACGTGACTGGACCTCCTTGGGTGTGTAATGGATCACATGACGTAGTAGATATGCTGTCGTCTTGATTCCCATCACGCCTCCTCAATAAGTCATCGCCAGTGTTTATAAACCTTTCACTAGCGAGCACAAGATTGATAGTGTATAATCCCATAAATAGGATAACAAGTAACGAGAATAAACCGGTTCCACAAATAACATGTTGACATGTGCTAACATTTATAAATCTCTCACTAGCAGGCACAAGTAAAACATGACTATGGTAGAGACTAAAATAGGCTAACAAGTACATTTCAAGTAAACATACTTATTTCAAGAAAACATGTATCACAGGAATCTGGCAGCATGCATTAAAAACTTTTATAAATAGGCTTACTTAACTAATTAAAATCCAACTTAAATTAAAATGAGATTTAGTCATAATAACTAAACCAAAACAAGTTCTTAATCCTACCACCAATCAAAATCGATAAAAATCATGTTTTAAACTTATATTTTAAAATTAAGGGTAAAACCATAAATTCACTTACCTTAAATATGGAGATTATAAATTTGAAATGTGTAAATAATCAATAACCTAAAATTTACATTTAATATTAATCAGCAACAATCTAGAACTACTAATACCTATTTAACTTAATAATACTTATTACAAAATTTGCGTTGAATACCCCCACATAGACAGGGGTAGAGGCAGAAATTTTTTCAAGGAGGGCAAAATACTAAAATTTTCAAAGTTCAGGAGGGGTTAGATAATTTTTCTTATGCTAATTTGCAAAATTCTCAAATTTCAGGGGGGGCGAGCGCCGCCCCTCGCACCCCCCTGGCTCCGCCACTGCACATAGGTATCTGCACCTATTTATTGACTAGAATTCAGGGTGTTGACGCCATTGTGTTAACCCCCTAAATCTGTCACACAACGCCCATGGAACTACACCACACGAGGCATAGTGTAATGTTGTAGCACCACCAGCCCCGCCTTTCATTATTCATATTATTTTAATGAACCAGTAGGTGTCAACACCTAATCTATTATTAGAATTAAAGGTGTTGACACTACTACCAAATCTCATACCAACGGAGTGATGATGTCATCGCCATGCATCATCACGCAGCAACACTTGCAGGCAATTGTGTGGATGCTGCTGTATAGCGGCTCCTTCACCCCATTAATTGCTACTTACAATATATATATATATATATATATATATATATTTGTATTTACATCATTTACTATCCCCCTTCAATGTTCAAGGGTATTGCAACGACCCAACAAATTGGGTGCTGCAACCAATATTCGTAATCTAAAAGTAAATTCTCTCTTTATTGTTAATTTAATAACCATTGAAACAAAACATGAAAACTTACTAGAATCTAAGATTTTGATATGACATCCAAGACAAAATCTTAATAGCAAGTGTAATAAGAGATTTGAAGATTACAATATTAGGTTTAGCAATAAAGACCCAAGAAAACATGCAAGAACAAGAAATTAAGAGGATCAAATATACTCACCTTTAGTATCTTATGATTGAACTATACGAGAAGAAGATCATTGGATTTGGGAAAAGGTATTTACTGTGTGAAAACAAATTTATTTTAAGAAGAAAAATAAGGTTAGCGGCAAACTCCATATCTGTTTAAATTTTATTTAGGGAAAATAATAATTCTAAATTAATAGACATTGATTTTTGAATTAAATTCTTCAATTAATTTGATTTAATTAGATTATAATCTTTGGAATTGGAATTATGTTTACTCAATTAAATTTTAATCCACTTAGGGCCTATTTGGTACAGCGGGTAAAATTGGTACAACGGTTAAAATTCAACAGATAGCAGATAGTAGGTAGCGGATAGCGGATAGCGGTAGCGGATAGCGGTAGCGGATAGCGGTAGCGGATAGCGGTAGCAGGTAGCGGGTGGCAGTTAACGGATAGCGGATGGCAAATAGCGAAAAGTGGATAGCGGATTGTAAATAACGGATTCGATAAATATAACTGTTTGGTATACAATAGTTAGCGGTTATTGTTTAACATTAAATGACTAATAAGGACATGTTTAAAAATAAATAAGTGTATTTTTTAAAATATTTTTATTTT